AGCACCACGGACAGCTCACCGCGCAGTCCCAAACGGGCGCCGTCAGCAGGGCTCACCCACCCCAGTCGCCCCGCCAGCACCTGGTAACCCTTGGGGCCTCGGCCGACAAGGAGAAGGAGCGTCCCCTGAGTTGTTGCGTTGCCGCCGGAGCCCTCCTTCAGCACAAATCCTCGGCTGCCCTCGGCAAGGGCGTCCTGAGCAGGAGACCCGAGTGAGTGGGGAAGAGGAGATGGGGACTATTGTGTTGGGGGGAGAAGAAGCAAGTGGGTGTGAGGAGGGGGAAACGGGGTGCGTGTAAAAGAGTCTGAGGACTACGCTAGTGTGAAGTGGAGGGTTGAAAAGATGCCTTGAGGGAGAAGTGTGTCAAGCAGATCCTGAGGAAAGGAGAGAACGGTCTCCGTGTTTAAGAAGGATTTGTGGATGCTGGAGCAAGAGGGTGATTTTATTCAGAGTACCTTTGATGGCAAGGAAGGAGAAAAAAGGCTGTTAAGCAATTGAGGATATTGGAAACTGGCAGGGTGTAAAGGGGACAGATTGAGAGGAAGTTAGCATGAAGATTAAACTGAAGGAAGAGGGAACATTAAAAGATTTAAGTTAGGGAAATTTTGAGGGGTAATTTAGGTAGTAAAATTATTTAAATTGAGAGATTTGAAAAAAGACAGAGGATTGGGCAAGAGGCTTGTTAAGAGCTTTAAAGGGACTTGGGAGGGGTTCCAAAATGAGGATAGAAGGGAATTTAGGAGGCAGAGGATAAAGCTGAAAGGCAGGAGCGATGTGAAAAGGCAGGGGAGCTGGAGACAGAGGGAGATGAAGGTGGGAGAAAGCATTTTCTAGATGAACAAGCTGCCTCTTTAACTGGTGCAGTGGGAGTCAAAGCCAGGAATGGCTCACTGGAGGAAGATTACTCTGCTTTGGCCTGAGTGGGCACCTTTCTCCTTGCAGAGAGGGGTGCAAGGAGGGCAACTGACCAAAGCAATGGAGGACTCAGCCATAGTGCAGGAACTCAGTCTGATCACAGCTTTTCCTTCTGACTCACAAGGAGGGTATCCGCAGCGAGGTTGGCAATTGTGGAAAGGGGAAAATGAGGGGAATAGCTGGCACACAGTAGTTATTTGGATGAAATGCCTTTGTAAAGCTCTGTTATGACTAGTGATTGCAAACCCTATGTCCCCTTGGCTGTTTGGCAATAACTGAAATCTTATATCGGGACTCAAAAGAAATGTTAGCTACCTCCATCCAGCAATTCTTGGACTTCAAGATTTTTCTTCACTGATGAGGCCCATGGACTAGGAATATAGAAAGAATAAATGAAAAGTGGCTGGGATATTTAGTCATGTGTATTGGGAAGGCTGTGATCATGTCAGCTTTCCTTCTCTGATTAGACAGGTGACGGAAAAACTGCAGAAGAGCCCTGGAGAAATCAGCACTTGGCTGGCACCTGGCCCTGCCAGTGACAGTATTAAAGGAATGGAAGAGTTGGAAAAGTCATGGCTAAGAACCTCATCTTCATTCAATCTCAAGTGTGTTTTATGTCTGGGAGACACTCATTTTTCTCCCCAGCATCACCCTTCTAAACCCTGCATTTTCTTCTCCCATCTCTTGTGGAGTTAGAAAAGGAGGATCAGGGCATGGTAGGTCATAGAGGTTTTAACAGAACCATGGGGTGAAGATCCAGGATGATTTGGCTTGACAGGTCTAAAGCATTTGATTCAAATCCCAAGAAGATACACTTTTATTTTTCAACTCCCTCAATGGCTCATTTGTCTTTGAAATTTCATGGCTTTCTTTCCTTTTCTTTCTGGCATAGAAAGCAGAAGTTGGGTTTTCTACACTGCCCATGGTTCAGCAAAAGGCAGCATTCTTCCAAATATTATATGGCCTTTCCCCCAAATAGGGGAAATTAACTGTTCCATTTCATTTCCCTGGGGGCAGCCATGGCTTCCTGGTGATAACTATACCTGATCCTGTCATGACATTTGGTGTCTCCCTTCTCGTCACTGTGTCCCCACTTTCTCTGCAACTCTTCAAAGGGTTGTGTGGGCAAGAAAGGAATGAAGCTTTCAATAGAACCTTGAGTAACTCTTCTTAATAAGAAAACTTTTCTGGGGCCCCCAAAGCAGTCTGGAGAGCCCACACTTTCTGTCCGGATATTCCTGCTGGGAATTTAGAAATCTAGGACTCAGTTACATTCTTACCCAGCTTCACACATCAACAGTGTGTCGTCACATTCTTATCTTACCTTCTCCCCTGCCTTGCTTTTGTTTCTGAAGGGAGGAAAACAAAAATAAGAAACAATTATCATGGTGGAGGAGAGTGGAAATTGTTGGAATCTTTTACTCATAAAGTTGTGCCGTGCACTCAGAGGTTGATAATCCCAGTAGCTCATTTCTCTAGAGCCTTGAGCTTTACCCCTGCTCCCCAGGCCTTGACACCCAGGGACTTAGAGAGCAGGAATATACCTGCCCCACTTCCTCCCTCTTCCTTTGAATATGAAGTCATTCACATTCTGCCTGCCTGACTGCCTTTTGGACCACCCATTTCTTCCCTCACTGTTTTGCCTAACTTCCACCCACATTCCTGCACAGAACCTCAAGGAGGAATCCCCATAGCTGGCTACATGTTTGCCCTCACCCTGCTCTCTACCCATGGCTCCCATTCAGAAAATCTGTCCTCTGCATATACTTCTCCACAATGCAGGGTTAGAGAGAGCCAGATGACAGGGAAAGATGGCTACAGATAGGGTGAAGTAAGGAGAAGAGCAGAACTGGCTGCCCTCACTCTGGGTTTCTCCAGGGAGCTCCCTGCTGAATCAGTTCTCCACTGAGCATGCAGATGACTACTGGAAGCAAGGGGGATCTTTGCATTATACTTCAAATTCAGCTTTTACTCCAAGCTCCCCAGTTCAATATGGTCACAAAGTCTAAATGGCTTAGTAGCTCCTGGTCTTCTCTCTTTCTTCCTGGTCTTTCACACCATTTTTTTCTTGCTCTTTTCCTCTTGTCCCTTTCTTCTCTTTTCCATTTCTTTTCTCTCCCCCTTTCTTCCCTCTCCCTTGAGTACTTTTCCTCATCAACCTTCACTTCTACATAAGTGACACAGAACAATCTCTTGCCTTTTTGCCCTCATCTTGTAAGCAGGAAATAAATCATGACTTTTTTTTGTGGTGCTAGGAATTGAACCTGGGATGGCCCTGTGCGTATTAGGCAAGCTCTCTACCCCTGAGCTATACCCCTCGCCCTGAATGATATAAATCTTGTGTCATCCTCAGAGCTCCTTAGTCTCATGCCTAATGAAGGCTGGGGATGGTTAGAAAATTGTGGGATGTGCCTTTTGGCTTGAGTTGTGTAAGATGCTGTTGGAGCAGGTATCACTGCTGCCATTGATTTAAGATTGTCTGTTTGAAGGTGGTGGCTCAGGAATGGCTCATCCTGAATGCTCTTAAGAGAATCTTAAGGTCTTTCCATCAGTCAACTAAATGTATCAGCTGTCCAGTCCATTCCAAACCCAGCACTCATGCTGTGGAAAGATAGAAAAGAAGGAATAGTCCTTGCTTAACACCCGAGAGACACATATCTAGAAATATCTAAACAGATATAAGCACATTGCAGCTATCTACAGCTATCCCCACCCAGAATATAACAGGGCAAAAAGGATGAGCACAAAAATCAGGTTCAGTGCCAGAGATCATGTTAGGGAACAGAAAGAGCAGAGTAGCTGGAAAGGAGGCAGCCCAGAAGACATAGTGTCCAAGATATCTGTACTGCATGTGTTCATCATTCCATCTTCTCACACCTTCCTTCCAGATGAACTTGTTAGTGGGTAAGGAAAGCCTTGCCACAAAGGGCCTTTGTCTGTCTTGTGTCTTGAAGGCTTGACTGCAGAGACCAAGGCTCCCCAAGCTGCCTCTTTTCCTTCTCTTGTCCCCACCAGGGAGAGGACTCCTAGCCAGCAAGCTGGAAAATGAATCCAGAATGAAAGTTCGTTAGCAGGAGGGAGTGTCAATATATTTTTGCTCATACCTGGAAGCTGGTGCAGAATGGGTTTGTAAAGATTACTGTCTCCTACCTCTCCAAGCACCTAGACTGCTGTTCTTTCCTCTTTTTCATTAAAAAAGACCACAATTTTCTAGAAACTAGTCATTCCCCAGCCTCTGGGAGACCCCTGTGCCTTACTCCACCCTAGTATTTCCTTCTACATCCTTAAGCCGTTCCCAGACCTACACAGTCAATTCCACCAGGTCTCACAAAGCCATCCTGGCAAATTTTCCCTTTGGCCAAGGACCAAGCAAGAGGAACAGCAGCTGGGTCCTGCTGATTCAGCAAATATCTGTGCAACCTGAGTTTCAAAGGTCAATTGTACAGAAAAGTCAGCCTGGCTCAGGGCAGGGTGAAGAGGGAAGGGAGAATGGTAAGAGAAAGTAGGAGCAATCCAGGACAAACAGAACTAGAATCTGGAAAGAGACTCAATTCTTGAACTGAAATCCCATATAAAGAGTTTTAGTTTTAGTTTTAGTTTAACTGCCCTTGTTGAGGAGGCTGGAAATGATTTTATCTTTGGGATCCAAATATATTTTGGTAGCTCTGGACACAGGGCATCAGCAGCTTGATAAGGGATTTCTTAGTGATAGATCCTGGGGACGCTCTCATTGTACCTGGCAGATTCCCTAGTGTCTACCCATCTGGCAAAGTTGTCAAGGCTCAGGCCACTGTGGTGACTTCCTCCTCTGCTTTTGGGAAAGCACAAAGTACAGGTTCCCACGTGAGCTGTGAAAGGTCTCTTGTTTCTCCAGAGGAAAAGCATGGTTGTCCTCCCTTCAGGCAATGAGGGCCGGAAGGGAATCAAGAGGTAAGGTGAGGGTGAAGTTGGATTTTTCAGGTAAAAGGAGCTTCAGAACGCCACAGAATCACTGAATGTTCAGATCTGGGTGGTTAAGAACATGAGGTTTGGGCATGCACATCGGTTTTATTACCACTCCCAGCTGGGAGACCATGCATTTATTATTTCCTTTCTTTCAGCCGTTCTTTTCCATGTATGAAGTGAAGAATAATGTCTACTTTAAAGGGTTATTGTAAAATTTAAAAATTAGATAGCATCATTAACATTGTTCCAGGCCAAGTAAGTGCTCAATACATTGTAGTATCTTGACATATAAAGAAACCACAATGCAGGAAAGACAGGAGTTGCATCTAATGCCAGGTAACAGTGACAGGC